CCCCCCCCAACCACCACCACCACCACAACAACAAATAAGAAAGAAAGAGATGTTCGTGTGTCAGAGTCCTTAGAGATTTGTTGAGAACATTCCTCCACCTCTCTTCTTCCCAGTAAAGGGAAAAACATTAGCGGAGAAATGGACAGTGTAATATACTACTTGGTAAGGCAAAAGATCATCCTCCAGTTAACAGTTAAATCTCGAATTTATAGTGCCTCCACCGACCCTTATGCCACAACTGAACTTCAGCTAATGTAGATTTCATAAGGAACGGTAAAGTAAATTGCTAACCAGTTGTAGAGATGTTAACATTCAATATGGTGTCCTTTTTCTAAAATATTGCTCAATACTTCTGTATCACTGCTCACTGCATTCTAATTTTGTATTGCTTCTTTGCATTCCAGGTAGGAGCCAACTTCCTCAGGATGTTCTTGTACACATATTTGGCTTCTTAGATTTAACGTCTCTTATCACTGCCTCTTTAGTCTGCAGGTATGAGTCTTTCCTTATCAACTTAAGTGGTTGCATCAAATAAATTCAGTGTAAGCATCTCTTGAACATAGGACCTAGTCCTCTGTCTGATTTAATCAATTACCATCAGAGGTGGATCCAGGATTTGATGGTTACGGGTACCACTGTCTCTAATGTAAACTTACCTCTAGTCAAGGAGGTCGAATTAGGGTATACATTTGGCTAGTTTGCTCAGTTTTGAATTAACTCGGTTCGGTTCGGTCCATTTTTCAATGTTCACTTTATAAGATTTTCTGGTGCATAAATACACACGTGATAACTAAACTAAAAATGTTTGGTCCTTCAAGAAAAAAATAACATTAACTAGATCAAAAGAAAAATGATTAAAAGCATATTGAAATTTCAAAATTCGAGATTTAGAAAAGGAAAACAGAAATAAATATACTTTTATAATCTAAATAACTAATAAAAATGGAATTGTATAGAGAGAGAATACAAAGATGAAAATAAGAAATTAAGAGAAAGAGAAGAAAAGAAAAATCTAGAAAAGAGGGAACAAGGAAAAGCAAAATAGGCTTTGTTAAAAATGAATGAGAGGAGACTCGATCCTGGGCTGTGGGCCTGGCAGGAAGCACTTGGACCGTGGCACCTACCATAACTTTTTTACTCAGGGTGCACACTTTAATTTATGTACCCTTTTTACATGAAATATCAGTGGAATACCAATACTAATATGAAATTCTACCGGAGCGACCGGGTCGCGTACACCCCCTTCCCTCCGCGTATATCCGCCCCTGATTACCATATCAGAATGATATATCAAAAGGTGTCTACTTTTGCAGGTCGTGGAGTGTGGCAGCTAGTGACAACCATCTGTGGCAGTCGATGCATATTAACTTTTTCGGAAGGCCAAGTGACAACCCAAATATTATCAGGCTTACCTATGGTGTGGAGAGAATTACTTTTACTCCGGGAAATACCACCACAGCTAGTGTTGACTGGAGAGATGCTTTCAAGCGAGCTTATAGAGGTATTCCCATTGGCTGCTATCCCACTTTGATTAGGCAGAATAATATTCCGCCTATGTTTCATTGTTTTTATCCATGTTGCATGGGTTAATAGACCACTTGGACTATTCTAGCATTATCATTTGTCTTCATTCAGAGAGGTCTTTACTTTATCTGCTTGTTTTCTTTTTTCTTAACAATTCTTTTTGTGTCATTTTTTTTCATACACCCTAGCTGTTTTGACTCAGGAATTTCAAGAAAGGTAACATCCCAGAGGGGCTTTTGCAAGCAGTGCAATTCTATTGTTTGGCTGAGTAATTCCAAGTGTTCAAATGAATGCTTTGGGAAAATTTCTGATGAACATCAGATCATGCCTGTGTCAATTAAACAGGTT